TTCCATTCCCAGCCCCTCCCCCAGTGACAGCCCCTCCCCCAGCAACAGCCCCAACTTCAGTCCCCTTACTCCTTCTGCACCCTCCTCCCCAGAGTTCCCAGCCCCGTCCTCCTGGGGTGGCGCATGAACAGCGATGGAGGGGGGGAGGTGACCAAGCAGAGTTTGGGCCCACTGGGTTAGACCACGGGGAGCTGGGAGTCAGGACTCCTTTGGTCCGTCTCCGGGGTCAAGGTGGCAGAGTGGTCTAACGATTCACGTGGGAGAAGGGCTAGGAGGCAGGACCATGCCTCTAGCCTCAGAACGGCAAGGGAGTGTCGCCCAGTGGCTAGGACAAGCCGGTCAGAGTCAGGGCTCCCCGGTTTCTCCTGCCATCTCTGCAAGAGAGCGCTGCCTGGTGGTTAAAGCCAAGGGCAGAGCGTCAGGGTTATGGTCTTTCACTCTCCCAGCCAGTGGCCACGCAGCAACCGCTGGTCTGAACGAAGCCAGGAGCTTACCTTCTATCTGGTCAGCGCTGAATTCAATCTAAAGGGAAGAGAGAACAGCAGAGTGGTTAGAGCCCCATCGCTGCCCTTTGCGCTGGACTCCTGCCGCTGGAACCTCACCCCCAGGCCCACCCGCGCCGGGGAGCAGTGCAGGAGCTCAGCAAAACACACCAAGTCCAGCTTCCCCCTGGTCGCAAGAGGAATTCACCCCCCGAGCCTCATTCCCTGTCTGGCGACAGCCCGGGAAAAAGCTGGGGGCCCTGTGACAATGAAGATGCTAAGGGCCCTCCGCACCTTGTAGTTCCTGGGCATAGCAGCAGGTGAGAGCTGGGAGCCAGGACTGTCTAACTTTGGTCCGGCCCACGGGCTGCATCTGGCTGCTTTCAGTTTCTATCCTGCTGCCCCTGCCACCGGAGATCCAGGCGGGGCTCAGGCAGCTGGATCCTATTTAAATGGCTCATGGTTGCGGCACTACCCCCGGCAGGGGACAGAGCTGTGGGCCCTTTAAATCGCCGCAGCAACCCCAGGCAGCTGCCAGGCAAGGCGGTAGTGGCGGGGCTGTGAGCCCTTTGCCGTGTTTTTAATTCAAAGCCTCCTGCCCCAGACAACTCTGGCGGGAGGGTAGCCCCCAGCCCCGCCCCTTCAGCCCTCGGCACCGCCCCTTCCTGGGTGGAGCCCGCCCAT